GGTTACACCCGCTGACACAGGAGGCAGCAGCCAAGAGGAACCATGAGGAGCTCCCCTTGCCGTAGGGTCTGACGGGGCTCTCTCTCCTCGAGGCAGCAAACAGCGGTGACCTCCCGCACTCAGCTGCTATCAGGGCTGAAAGAAAGGAGGGCCCTAGAGTTGTTTTCCTCCCTGCCATCCCCAGCTGGGGTTTGTATTGCCCAGAGACCTTGGGGAAAACTCCTCTAACTGGGCTTTCCCTGGAAGGACCAGGAGGCTTCAGAGCTCATTCTGCATGGTTACTCAGACTGGAGTTTAAAGGTTTTATACTTTTCACAGGAAACAGGATAAAGCCCGTAGCTCTGATTTTGATCTGACATTTAGTGTTAACGTATCTGAAACTACTTATCCAAAGCCAAAAGAGAAGCTGCTGCCAGAGCAGAAAACAGGCCTCAAATCCTATCAATCCTACTGCACCACAATAAATACAAGACTAGCGTTTTAAAACATGACACAGGACTGTTTTGTCACATCCTCAAAAGACAGACATAATCTATTTTATTGTTTTAAGTTGGGAGTTTTCACATTATGTTTTGCAGTGGCTTGCTTCTGTCACCGAGGAGAAGTAATACAAGTTAAAAAGAAGCCAACTGTGCAGTTATGAAACACCTCAGATTCACTTCACGGCTAAAAGCATTGGCAATGAATTGGCAATGATGCTTACTGAAAGTTTGCACAGCCATCATGAGCATTATACTTAAAGTAAGTGGCTCGTATTATTTTTAAAGGCGTTTCAAACCTCTTGGCCTGCTTCTGACCCTTCTTCCAACATTACCACTCCTGCGATTTTTACTCTCCTATGAGCTGAGATGATAGGTTTCCTTTTCTACTACTTCTTGCTAGAAAGAAACTGACTTAAAACTAAACCTTTAAAGACTCCTCTTCGGATTTACTTTCATACAAATTAAAGGAGAATCAGAAGTGCTTCATTTAAGACAACAAGGTCTTAATTACTTTACTTTTTATTTAGTCAAACCTGACAATTTTTGAATGAAACAAAAGTAGGCCCAACCATGCGCTTATAGTAGAGCAGTCTTGCAATGGCAGGGGGAGATTAGCAGTCTTCCCAAATGGTCTTCATGTTCTTCATATCTATACCTGATATCACTGTTTCCCAAAGGAGCATCCTCCCTGCTGAGGATTTGTTCCCTTGACTGCGATACAGCTGCATTTGTTCATGTTGATTAAGGATTTGTCCCAAAAGATGACAACAAACCAGTCAGGCTATAAATCTTTTCTTTAGCCTTACGAAACAATGAAATAACGTCTGTAGTGAAGCCATTACTGTGCTTGTGACACAGGTAGTAATACCTAAAATGACTTTACATAGCTATTGTGGGTCTAGCACGCAGTGTAGCTGCAGTAGCATGCAGTTCGCATTGGTTGCAAAATCACTCTGTAAACGTTAAGGTCATGCAGCCAGACAACAAGTCATGCTTCTCTATCGGCTCTGTGAGGATTAGCTAGGTAGATTCAAACTGCTGAAATATACTCATAGAACTGTCTGCACGATGCTTATGGTAGAGAACCCAAGATCTGCTCAGATACTCTCAAATCTTATTTTTTTTTAAAAGTAGGAACTCTTAGAAGGTATTGTAATTCCAATGGTTATTGCTAAAGAAGAAGCAAAGTTCTTAGGCAATCAGTCTCCATATAACAGTTCAAGTCAGACATAGAACGTCACTTTCATGTAAGCTGTAGGTCTTATTACTTACCTATAATTTACATCTGGGTTAAGAGAGTCTGGGAGCTACAATTGAATTTTTGGCTTCACTGTTCCCTGGCAAGGTCAATGTGCTGTTATAGGTGTTCCTCAAAAGTGCTATTTAGGAAGATTAAGCATTAGCAACACATGGCTTTAGAGGCATATGGTTGGATTCATGAATATATCTTAGACCTGAAGGATTCCAGTTTGCAATGCTTGCTCTCTGGTGGAATTTATTACCCTCAATTATCAGGACTACCTACCCTAATGCATGAGCAGATGCAGAGGTGTGAAGGATGGAGTTCATAGTCTGTGCAGTCTAGAGAAGGGTGGGCCAGAGTCTAGACTGAAGAAATTGTTCCACTTTACCCTTATGACATGATTCCGGTGAGAGGATGCCTATAACTCTGCTGGTTACACAGCTCATAGTGTCTTGCTAGGTATGAAATCAGGACCTACCTTTCTGTGCTGGAGCCAGGCAGATTTGTCTGTACGCATATATGCTAGGGAATTCCTAGCTATGCCAAAACAGTTAGGTTTTCAGTGAGGGGCAGGCTTAATTCAAACACAAGGGTTTTTTTTTTAACTTTATGCCATCTGGAGCTTATTTTAAACCCATGCCTTCAAGCAGCTTGGATGTGATGTGATGTGAATCTGGGCACCTGAGGGTACACTCGAAATACAGTGTAGATTCAAACTTTTGAAGGTAGCACGCTGGGCAGAGTACGAAATACTGTAAAAAGGGTCTGAGTCTCAGCACAAGAGATTTCAGCACCTAGTTCAGTGGGGGAGGGATGGAGGAAGACAACTCTATCCGTATGAGATGTCCAGATGTTAGTCAGCTTCTGAAGCTAGGCACACAAGCTGGGTCCTTCTTGGAAGAAATTCCTAGCAGAAATGGAAGAAGTTTCACCCAGTTGCTGAGAAACAGACCTACTGGAGAACACCTATGCAGCAGGAACCTAAACCCAAATCTAGCATCTAACCTTTACCCTGGGCTTTACTCTGAAATGAAGATCAGCACTTTGACGGAATTTTTTCTACTTTATGTAAAGTATTTAGGCATCCATTTAGAAAAGAATCTGGTAGCCTGCTTATGTCACCTGAATGCATTAAGAAATTTGATTACTTTGATCTGTAAAAAGTGGTAGGTGGGTAATATTTTGTATTTGGCACTGATATGGTGGTTACTGAAAGACAATGTTCATTTCCACCTCATGATGTTCAGTTCTGCTTCATGGATAGTACAGAAATTTAGGATTTTCCCTGTTGAATAGTTTAAGGGAATAGTTTAAGGGAGCATTCAGAGAATAATGAAGGGATTAGAAAAAAATACTACAAGGTAAAGAGCTTAATCTGCTTTATTTATTTGATAGAAGATGGAGAGGATCTGAAGTACCTGCTAGAAGCATAAAAATTTGATTGTAGAGTTCTCTAGTCTTGCAGATGTAAGGGCTGGAAGTTGAAGCTTGAAAAAAGTCTGACTAAAATAAACTATGCACTTCTCACTTTGAAAGTCATTAACTACTGAAAGAGCATTGCAGAGAGTGGTAATGGATTCTAAGCCATTAGAAAATTTAAGATGAGGATTATGCCAAAGACAATACTCTATTGGGTTTGAACTAGAAGTTATTTAAGGGGTCCTATGGCTTCTATTATGCAGGACGTTGGACCAGATGATCAGGAGGGTCTCTTTTGAACTTTGTTGACTCTTTGTATAAAAATGAATCCTTGGTAGTACTATTTAATTTGACAGAGTTATAGCAAGGAATAATTTGACTCAGGAACTAGAAAATAATAGTTAGTTAAGCTGAGTTAAAACTGCAGAAGAGAATAATGAAATTACGCTTTTTCTTTTGGGTTATCTGAACTCCTATTTATCAAATAACAATTTTGATTTATGACTGCTCTGATAGATATTCAGTAGTGAACACAAAATGACCTGGGCCAATTTGGTCTGATTCCTTATGGAAAGGTAGAAGGCATCCCTGAAAAGCTCCCCAGCAAGATAAAGAATTGCCTAGATTAGAAGTCCGAATTCTTCTTTCACCTTGGCCACTGAATACTGAAGCACATTGGCATTGCCCTGTGGGACCAGAAAACAGTTGTACAGCAGCTTTTTGATGTGTCCTGCTTTGGGGGGAAATTCATCCTTTCTCTACATCTCAGAATTATGCCTTGCGTTCTTAGTCGCTGCTTAGTTCCTGTAGTTTGTAATCGTTATTGCATTTGACTAAATTGCTAACGTTACCTCCTCATTAGTAACCTTAGGTTTAAGCATAATTGTCTTTCAGTACATTGAGATTTCAACTGAGGAGTAACTTCTCTTTTTGCGAGCTATAAGGGCCCAATTTTTCCCTGTTTCAATAAAGCGTACCCCAGCAAGAAAGAGTTAGTCGGACCTCCTTTGCAAAAGAAAGCTGTGATTTCTCACTCTCATTTTGTAAGTTGCTGTTAGACTTGCAGAATTATAGAATAATTTAGGTTAGAAAGGTCTTCTGCAGGTCATCTAGTCCAACTCTTTGCTCAAAGAAGAGCCAATTAGAGTAGGTGCTTTGGGCCTTGTTCAGTTGAGTTTCGAATATCCTCAAGGATGGAGACGCCACAGCATCTCTGGGCAACCTATTCAGTATTTGACTACCCTCAAGATTTAAAAAAAAAAAAAAAAAAAAGTTTTCCTGGTGATTTTACATAATCATTCATCAGATTAAGTAAAATTACTACTACACCATCATAGCAGTGAGGAGGGAACTTTCATGTTTGTATCAAGTTGGTGCTACAAAATAATCCATGGGATGAGAAGAACATGATCCACAGGATCAGAGTAAAAGGAATTGGATCTTGAGGTCACGCGGTTAAAGTTTAAAGAAAGAAACAGAAAATATTAGTACTGGGTCATTCATTTAGTGCCAATGTGATGAGAAGAACATATGTAAGGATTAAGTATACTTTTAGCTGAAAACTGAAGTGTTGGTTTTCTAAGATAAACTTCTAAATTATTGGGGATTTGCTTTCACTCTGAAAAATCACTTCCTTCTGCAAATGCCACATCGTAAAGAGCACCAGATTACAGTTCAGTTGTGCAAAGTCCTGTACCAAAGCTCAGCATGAAAGTCTATCCTGATATTATCTGATATACAAACAGCCCAAGTAAACCAAGAGCATGTGGAGACGTGAGACAGAATTAATTCATTCATAGTAGGTTAACTTCAGAGCTTGAGACAGATGCAAGTCACCACCCTGTCCATCCCGATACCGTGTCCGTGAAGAGCTCTCAGCAGAACATCCTGTGGATGTCACCTCTGAAATTCAGTCCTCTGCTCCTGAAATGACATCATTCCTACAATTACAAAAGGATAGAGGAATGGAAGTAATGTAATTAGGCCTGAGAGAGAGTAGGACGTTGCTTTGCTTTTTGTATTGCATACTTATGACAGGAATTTTATCAAGGATTGATAATGACCAGAGTGCTTTACTCTAATGTCTATTCAGTGGGTGGTTATAAGTGCTGGCACAGGATCCAGACACACATTTTTGTTTTACAAAAATGCAGATAAATAAATAGGGTGTCTCTAGAGAGCTGCTTTGCGTTCCTTAAAAGCTCTGGCTTAGAAAGGGGGATCATAAGGAGGTGTGAAAATTTAGCACTAAGATCTTAATTCTGCCTTCATTTACATGGCTACACCACCTGTTCCAGGCTGTGAGAACTGCACCCTGGAGAATGAGAGCAGGACTGAAATTAATGGAGCACTGCTGATTTGCACCAGCCGAGGAGCACATCCTATGTGACTAGCACGCTAATAGCAGCACATAAATAAATAACAATGATACCATCTCCTGAGGAGAGAGGGGTGGTGTGATAAATTAGGGGTGAAATCCTGGCCTTTTACAGCCAGTGGCAGAATTCTCACTGACCTCAGTCAGGCCTGAATTTCACCATTGCTGGATTTATTTTATTGCTGACTTTGTCCCAAGTATACCGCGCGCTATGCTGAGAAAGCATCCTTGATAGTTAGGACAGTGAACGTTTACTCAGCTGAACAGATCCATTGATTTAGTGCCCCAGTGTGCTACAGGGAAGGTAACTTTAAAGACAGCTCTGTGACTTTAAATTCCAGGAGCATATTTCAACAGGTTTCAAGGGGCTGAAAGCAAAATTTCCTAAGGGGAAGCAATATCTTTTGTGACGATCAAATTCCATTGCAGCATCTCCAGGGTAAATATGCCATTAATGTGGAAAAAGGTGAATCTTAGGTACAGTTTTGAATACAGTTAGACCTGGTTCTTGAAGCTGTTTCCTCATCATAAGGAAATGAGCTAGGTTTTGACCACAGTCCTGCGCAAATACAGAGCAAAAATGGTCCATCAGATTTAGCGTGCTTAAAGAAAACATCAATTCTTGTAACCAGGAGCAGTTAAAAGAAAGTGATGGCCAATGTCATATTCATCTGTCTTTTATTTCTCAACCAAATGACCTAATTTCTGCTAAACTAATGTAGCTAGGAGTTTTCTGGATCTACATTAAGACTTTTTAACTACCCTGCTGCCATACTGGGGGGAGCTGGATGTGAGAAAATATTGTCAACATCATAAATTTGAAGAAGACATAATGCATAATACTAATGACTATAACAAATTTATGATTGAAATTATTGCAGTATCAATTAAAGTCATGTTTTTGTCCTGAAGTTTCAGAGAAGTAAAAAGCCCTCTATTACTGAAAAAAGCAAAATGTTTCCATAGCGAGCTACATTTGCATAATCTACCCAGCCCAGCAGCTGTAGGTATTATTTGAAGCAACTGCCTGGGGTGCTTGGATATGAAACTGGATTTGGGAGGAATACTACGAGAGCTCTTTCAAAGAGGAAGATTTTTTTCTGTGATAAAGGGCTCGTTTTGTAGTTCTGTGGGAGGTCCCCAGCGGTGCCGGTTGCCCCCATAGCAGCTCTGCAGGAAGCTGAGGACCTGCCACACAAGGACTGCTGCAGAAGGCAACGGTGGAGGCTAGAGGGCTACAAGGACATGCCTCAAGCAGGTAATTGCAATGTGTCTGTGGGACAAACTGCTCGCCGGGAATGAAGACAGGTCTCCGGATCAGCGTGGATGAAATGATATAGCCACAGAGCTCACAAAAATGAGGATCAGAGCTAAACGAACTATCATCGTGTTGCTGAATGGGAGGATCTATTTCATTTACTCCATGTACGTGGTGCTGCTCTGCTTTCCCAAGTTCAGGACTGTTCTTTCTCCTGAAGAAAGATTTCCTTGTTTAGGTACAGTCTCCGAGTGCTTGTGAATGGAGGAAGTTTAGCTTTTTAAAGGAAACTTGAGACTTTCTGTTTTAGTTTTCGCAGTTTCTAGTTGGGGGCTCAGACCAATAAAATTATTTATCAGGAAGGACTGTATATAGGTTGAACACAGCCCCTTTAGCTACTGTTAACTACCTGACAAAAGGGTCACATATATGCTACCATAAGTAAGAATTATTGATCTGTAACCAACCTATAAACTATCACATATATTTCTACTGCACAATAAAAATATTTTGGAGTCATACTTTTCAATAGAAACTAAATTGCTACGTGAAGATTTTATTACAGTGGAACTATATAGAGAGCAATAAATTAGTCTCAGCTTTTTATATAATTTCATGTTCATAAAGAAAAATAGAAAATACCCTATAATAATGGCAGAACAAATTCTGATAAGAATTTTTTTTATGTTGAAAGTCAGGATTCTGATGAAGCTCTCTGCCCGTGGTATACCTAAACACGGACAGAGTCAAAACTTCTAAGAGCCTTAATATTTTCTATGGTGTCCATATTAAACATAATATGTGATATTTTAAGCCTCAGGTTAGCAACAGGAAATTCACGATATAGCATTGATTATTTCAACAGAGGAGCAAGAATTAAAGGCATATTCTTCAAAGCTAAGTTAGGAATAGTATCTGAAGAGATGACTCTTGGATTCTTGAATCTTTTTTTCTATAATAGAATAGCCTATTCCCCAGAATGCTATCATGCACCATTTTCTTAGATTTCACAGCTTCTCACTTCTTAAATTACACTGCAGAAAGAAATAACACCCTCCAAAAACATCTCTGAATACATATCTCCTTCCTAATGAAGTAGCTTTACTCAAAGAATAGAAAGCAAGCAGTAAATTTGAATGTATTAGAGCGTAAAATAAGCCTGGTCTTACCTTTTGGTTCAAAAGTCCATCCTGTCTCCAACTGCAGCTGCCTGATGCGTGCACTACTGTTTGTATGAAAGGCCAATAAAATATCTGACAAAAGGTTGTTGTGAAATAAGTCTCATCTATCAAATGTATCTAGCTGGTCCTATTTGTATTTATAAAAATACAAATCAATGCCTGAGTGAATTTGAAGAGCCACAAACGTATTTTATGCAGCTTTTATCTATTTTAAAATACATTGTGCTCTTTGAAGACATCAGAACTGGGACGCCACTAGGAGATTCTCTGGATCAGGTCTGTAAACAGCTGGGGTAGTGGATTTAACTCAGCTATTTTCATAAGGTTCCCTAGAGGGGCCTATTTCTCTTCAGCTGTTAGAGCAGAAGTCTAAAAGGACTATTTTAAGCTGCACACCTACATCGTGGATGGCTAAAACAGTGAGAATTAATCCTGTCCTGGGGGTTTAACAAATTTTTGTCAGACCTAGGTGATATGTTTTATAGACAAGAATGATTTTTCTCAAATTTTTCTCCTAGAAAAGCCTCATCCTTTTTATTTTTTCATATAAAAATTCAAGACATTTCTTTTCTTAAAATAAATTTCTAATAAACTTTTCCACATCAACTGCAGAAAATTGTCATTATTAAGTTTAAGATTTAACTCTCACTGAAATGAATAGGATTAGATTTTTTCTCTTTAAATATAACACATCATGATTTTTTGCAGTTTAAAAAAGATAACCCTGCATCAGCTTCCATCAGCGTCTACTCAGTGCATATTCAGAAGCTCTTTTTCGGAAGCATAAAAACTTGAAACATGTATTTTAAAAAATGAAAGCACGTGTGGTGCAAATTCCGAATCTGTCACAGGAACTAGATAAATAGCTCAAATGGGCCAGATCTAGCCAATGAACAGAGTGTTTGACATCAGTGATTTATACTATTTCCCTTTCATGTTATAATAATTGTCACGGATTGAATTTATGTTGTGCCATTTCCTGTTCTAGCTGCAATCTTTGCTTCAAGAAAAAAGGTTTCAGAACTTTAATGCCTCCACTGTTCTTGGAAAGATAACAGCAAACGGGACTATTTTATGATTTCATTGCTTGGTTATTCATGTTCTTTCTCTCTGTAGCCTTCAGGGAGAACTAGAAGAAAAGGGTGAGACAAAGAATCGGCTTCCCATCAAAAACACAAAGAATTGGATTGTTGCTGCTGAAGAAGAAAAGTGAGCAGGGAAAATGATGCTCCCAAAATTACCCCATAACAGGAAACCCTATAAATGTCTCCCATCCTTCTGCTAGAACTGCATCAATTTGCAGTGTGAGCAGCAGAAAGGGCAGATGTGGGATCAAAGAGGAAATGTTTACCTAAACAATGAAAAAGCACTCTCCCAGCTTCTTTATACCCAATGCATGCCAGATTGCGCATAGCCTTTACTTGCTAACAGAAATGCAGAAGATTTCTATTAAGCATAGCGTTGCCTGATAGCAGCAGAAGAAAATAGACAGTGAGTATGAGGAGGGAAATGAATGCCTGATAGGAATTCAGTTTGGAAGCCAACAAGAAATCATTAAGCATGGGTATGTTCCATTGCAAAATCTAATGTGAAAATATTGTCTTTATTGACGTGGTGCATGCCTTTCAGCTCTAAAGTGAAGTTCTTCCTACTGAAGTGCACATTTTTGGAAATGAACTGTATTGACTCATAAAATTCAACAATACACTGGAACAAACAGCAAATAAACTGTCCTGGACATTCTCTTGTCACTGTGAAAGAAATATCAAAACGTGAATGTGGTATATATTCTGTAGATTTGAATTAGAAAAGAGGTGTAGCCATAGCAGTGTTCTAACGCTCAATTAGTAAAACCATAACATCTGAGCAATAAATGTAATTAATATTCACTAAAACAGGAATTAGGCTACTGGGCCACCTATTGCATCCGACTCTCCATTCTGGGAATTCATATCCCTCTTTCTGGGAAACAGTCACTTCTCTGCCTTCAAAAAAGAGTCACAAAGCTGTCTTCAGCAGTGTTTCTAACCAGATGGACACTTCCAGACCAAGAAAGAGAGAAAGCTTCACAGAGCCTTTAAATAGCACATTTTCCTGTATCTCTTTCTTTTTCCTAATGTAAGCAGGAAAACGGTCATTAATGGGTATAAAAATGATTGTGACAGACATGTTCTGCCCAGTCCATTGTAAAAGGGACAGAGCCAGGACCTGGACTGAATCCGTACAGAAGAGACCGCGCTGCAAGTACACGTAAACGCACAGGCACAGCCCCCTTCCTCTGCCAACACGGACACCAGAGGTCCGCATGGGATCTGCTCCAGCTGCAGAGCCCAAGGGAAGCCAGAAGAGTATTCTCACATGCAGCTCTGCTTTGCCCACCCTCGGTGCCTGCTCCTGGAGGAAAGACGACCTCCTTTAAAACAAGCTACTGTCTAAGCGCTGTTAGCTGAATGAAAGGAGAAGGGAGAATGCTGGGCTTTCGATAGGGATTTCCCAGGCAGCAGTGTGTGCTGACACTGTTTGTGGACCATACCCCACCTCTGATCTGCCCCAGAAACACCAGCCCTCTCCTCTGCGCTCTGCAGAGCTGATCTTCACGTAGGCGCGTCTGATGCTTTTGGAGCGCTTCAGATTTGCTGTGCGATGAAGCCCATCCATGCAGTGCATATATAGCATGTACAACGTGCTCCAGATACAAACATATAGCTGATCTGCCTGTACAAAATAGCCGTTTCTCTAGAATTTGGTTCTCAGAAACCTTGTCAGACTTGCTGCTTCACCAGAACCACTGAACATGTGGAAATCTAGGATGGATGGGCAAAGTTAAACTCCTCAAACAGAAAACTTCCATGGCGTTCTGTGGGACCCCCAGGGTACTGTAGCTTTAGGTAGGTTATCATCTTTTTACCCAGAAAACCTTCTTTCTCTCCTCTTCCCTTCTTTCAGCTTATTTAGGAAACAGAGTAGTAACTGATCTGTTTTGCTCTATTATTCTTTCTAGTCAAGCCTAAATTGGTAGCTTTTTTTCCTTTAGAATGAAAAGCAGAGCTAAGAAGAGAAGGGGCATTTGGGATTATGCTCACTCAGAGTACTGTGACTGACACAGCCTTTTACCTGCTTTGTTTTTCCTAGTATGAACAAATATCTTGATTTTTTTAAAGCGTGCAGCATAACTTCCTCATTATCACATTTGTTGAAACAGATGGGAAAGCATTTGGAGGGGCTGCTTAGAAAGCGGTGGTTTCTACAAAAAGAAAGTTGTATTTAAACACTGATATTCAAGTTGTTTGGGAGGCAACAATCTCAGCTTCCCAAATCTGATACACTTGCATAATTTCTCTTTTGTTCTTATGTTTTCTGCTTGCTGTTCACATTCCCTCCTACCCCCCTAAAACTCCACTGCGCAGGGTATGTTTGAAATAATAGGACTCGCATGCTTAAGTTCATGCATTTCACAACCCAGTCTTAATTCCCCACATCCATTTTACAAGCTGTAGTTTACACAATTTTTTGTGGCTTCATTTGGACTGGATTTCCATTTTCTGAAAGATAACTGTTCAGTTGAATAACCTCTTGAGTTTTACAATTAGCTCATACTGTTTTATATTTCTTTTTCTTTCCTGCTTCTTTTTTTTTTTAACTTTATTCTTTTTACATGCCTTCTGTGACTGTTAAGAGATACTCTAAGACTTTTAATTTTGCTTCTTTTGATTTTAAAGCTTTTTTTTTGAATGGGTAGGCAGCTGGTGTTCTCTGACAAGAGCAGTAATTTTCTTTCTGATGAATAGTTTATTTGAGGAAAAATGTAATTCTGGTTGTCCCAAAACAATTAACAAATTTAGGTCAAATTCATGAAATAGTTTTGGCTAGAAAAACAACAACTTTGAGATGTTACATTAGCAAAACTGCTAGATAAGGAATCAGCTACCTTTTATCTCTTGGTTATGAAGCTTTCTGAACTTTAATTCTCTGAATTTCTTCCTTTTTAAGGTATGCTGAATGCACTTCTCAGCAGAAAGCTGTAAGCTGTATCCTCGTGTGCTGTATATTCTAGGCTAGCGTCCTAGGCTAGTTTTTAGACCTACTTTTGCATGCAATGCGTACTTGTTGACTCAGAGCATATTTAAATACTTAACAGAAAATGAAACTGCTCCAACAGGTGGGACTAAGGAAAACCCAGATCAAAATTAAGTACAACCAGGTGGCAGAGAGCTCCATATTAATTAGGGGAATGTAAGGTCAAGATCCCTTAGTGAGAGGAGGAAAGCATCCTGTTTAATGTCCCCAGGACCAATCTGTAAAAACTCCTCCTGTGGCAGTTTTGTGACTTTAATCTTTGGCTTTGTTTGGCTTTTTGGACTAATTAATTGATAACACCGAGTTCAGTAATTCTATTAAATATTAAATTTCCAAAGGTATTTATTGTTCCTGTACCCAGTTCAAGCACACTTCCTATGGTATATAGCAACGATTATGACCTGATCCCTGTAAGATAAATGATTTTACTAATCAGTTAGCAGTCCCTGTGTCTATCACGGATCAGTTCGCAGAATATCCATATATTCTTGGACCTGAGGTTCGTGTAATATAGTGGGTTTGCATGGTCTAATTTGGGCCCTGACTAACAAACTGACAAGCTGCTTGGGCTGCTTCAGCTTCTTTCCTTGCATGTTCTTGGGATTTTCCATTTCCTCTTTTAAAATTTCAAAAGTTTTCATTTTAAAAAAGTCCAGGGTCACAGGCAGACAGGGCAGCATTTTTCTTCACATCTTATTTGTTATAACCTAGAGTAAGGCATCAGTGTTCTTTCTGTTTCTAAAGTGTAAAGGGAAACAAATATCTTTTGCACAAATATTTGTTGTACTAATTGACCTATATTTTAAGTCATAAGTCGGTTGTCATTCTTGGCTAATATATATTATGTCAGTCTAGCAGGAGCTTTGTGTCCTCTCTTCTGCTCCCTAGTACCGTGACTATTTGTTTCTTTATATATAATTAGTGCTAAATTTTTTACTACAGCTGACCCCAGAATTATAATTATTTTCTTGTAAACTAATTATTTATTTTTTTTGCAGATGCCTGAAAAAATTTGTAATTTCAGGTCCAGTGGGATGCTTCATGTCCCATGAAACAAAATATCAAGCCACTGAGACCCACTCCTCATTGATTCTCCTGATTGTTTCCATCCATTTTATTGTGTTGTTCTTAGGCACACAGAGTCATAGCTAATATTTGGTTTCTGTTTTTAAA